ATCTGAGACTGAGCAATCAAACATCACTTTTGCATAGATCTCAGATAAACTTATCGCCGAGCTGCTCGGCGGTGCTGAAATTTCCTAGGGTACAGCACTATAAGCATTCAAAAGTACCCCCTCAAGCAGCTGTCATGAGCATTCGATACATAGGCGCTGGAAGTGGTTGGGACAAGTAGGACATGTGCTAAGCAAAAAAATGTCCCACCCATGATTTAAGAGAATCGCATTCGAATTAACCAAGTTGCACACATTTGTAGATGAAGTCCTATATTATTGTACGAGTGATGTAGACCTCATAGACAGCAATTTGCAATTTATCACTGCCTTTTAGATGGGAGTGATATAACCTTCACAGCAAAAAAAATAATTTTGATATCACGTCAAAGTGGATGCACTACAATCATGTCGAAAATATGGTGTAATATTACTTGCTAAAAAGGACAAAATTATCATTAATACAATGCATGAATTGACATTACGCTGCTTTTACTGCATTTGTTTATTTATGTGGTCATAAAAATTACATGAAATTTTCGACATGATTGTAGTGCATCCACTTTGATGTGATATCAAAATTATTTTTTTGCTGTGTTGTTGGATTGTTAGTTGAACGGTTGGACAATTAACAGAAATGCATAGAACTCTACGAAACCTGAATGAGTTTCACAGAAAGCGTGTATATTGAAAAATAGGGAGAGAAAGCCTTAGGATACGTTTGGTAAACATATTCTTCTTCGCATTTGAAGCTTATTGATTACCGCATAGTTGCTTATTGCGTGCTCTCAACTTAGTGTTCTAGATGCACTTCCACAGTTATTAATTGAGAGCGTTCGATGACTGTACCATTTTTGCATTAGCAGCAAGTACAATCATATTCTATGCCCAGGGAAGTCGAGAAACTGTCCAACCCGAAAAATTCCTAGGCCGGACCGGGAATCAAACTCAGCCACCTCCAGCATGGTTTTGGTTTGTAGCCGCGCCTTTACCGGCAAAACAAAATTAAATTATATTTAAAAAATAAGAGATTTTATATCTAACGAATCTTTCATGAGAGATTAAAAAACCTTCACTTCATGGACACAGTTAAGCAGAAAAGTCTTGACGAAGATGATCATTTCTTTCAAATTGAGGAACTTAATCTGCATCGATACAGAACAACGTGTGAGTTGTACAACTTGTTCTCGAAAAACGCAGATCACTTCAAACAAACCTGAAAATTCTCAGGTTCTCTTGCGTAAAATTTGAAGTTTTGGACGTACCGAAAAAATAAGGATTGTGTCCAAAGCACTATCGCATTGTTGACGTAGGACTACGAGATTATTTTTGCTACTCCATTCAATATTATATTAATAACAAAATAAATGGATTATAAATTTAACTCCAGAATGAACCATTCATTATTAAATTATTTGAAATTGGGTGGGTGTTGAATAAATCCTAAAATTGAAATTAGAAAATCAGTTATTCGTCCAAGCATCCAAACATGTTCATCCAACTTTCGGAAACTTGTTAATGTTAGTGATGGCAAAACAAATTTAGCAATGTGCACCTGACATCACAAATCTTTTTTTTTGCAGAACTATAAGAGACAAGAGGCTTTCAGAATACCAACAACAACATTGTAAATAATGTACCGTAGTTAAAAATGTATCTTCTGTGTATGTAGGTATCTTCTAGCTAACTTTATTCATTTTATTGTATAGCTACGTATCGTAGAAGCTGATATTTGTGCATTTAGCGTTTCAAAATGGTTCCGAGAGTACAGCAGTTCCATTTCAAACGACGATTTTTTTTTAATTTTTTGATCGACCTTCTACGATTATGTTGAAACTTTGCACAGTTGTTTGTTATTGTCCAACATGCCATTTAACATGTTTGGTTCTCTAGTTTTGTATACGACTAACACTTGAAAAGGGCTTATGCAAAAATGATACGCATCAATAGAAAAACATATATCTTGCGAACGATTTGTTTGATTGAGATGGTGTCTTAGAAGAAGTTGCGGACAAGTATTGTACCTTTCAAGAAAAAAATATTCACTGTAGAAAATATTTTTTTTTTACAAAAATAAATCAAAATTATCAAAAAAAAAACCCGAATTTATCCACCTATGGTGTGATCAGACCCTTCTTACTTATTCAAGTTTATTTATTTTATTGTCATTATCAGTGACCAAGCCCCCCACCCCCGTGTCATCCAGTGACGCTAAGCTACTGCCTGGGGGTACCCGGAATATATCCGGGTGTAGTCTATTTGGTGAGGCTACCAATCACCTTATCATCGTATTTTAATGTGATTTAATGGGTTTTAATTCAATTCATATTCAAGCAATTTCCCGGAGTGTCCAATCTTGAAAGTATGTTTTACAAAAAGCCGAATTAATTTCCTTAAACTTTGCTGTTCACAGTTTTTTAATCATACGCATGAGTTAAGATATAATTAATTAGCTAAACTAGCTAGCCGTATATGGGGCCAAACAGAAAAATACACTTTTCCTATACGGTCTCTTACTCATAATTAATTATATCTTAACTCATGCGTATGATTAAAAAACTGTGAACAGCAAAGTTTAAGGAAATTAATTCGGCTTTTTGTAAAACATACTTTCAAGATTGGACACTCACAAATAACATCTCAAAAGAGCGAAAATTGCTCAAATTATGCGATAAGTGAATTTTAACCTACGAGTATCTCGAAAATAACAACTTGGGGCAATTTAAGCATTATGAGCTTTTTTGTTGTAAATTTAATGTGTTTTAATATTAACACTATTTCAATTATATTCGATAACTCTAGATATGGAATTAGGACGTAACAGCTTTTGTAAACAATGACTTCTTTAGAGGATTTCTCAAAAGTCATGACTCTCCTTGACAAATCGACATCACCATCGAGTAGGGGAAGACTTCCCCTACTCGATGGATATGTTGGTTTGTGTAGGTGTGCCTTGAATTCTTGGAAATCAACGATAGAAGTCATTGTTTACAAAGGATGTTACGCCCTAATTCCAGCTCTATCTAGAACTATCGGTAGTATTTTGGAAAAAAAAAATATTTTTTCAATAATTCTTAACTTTTTTATTTATGATTCGCCCAGCAAATACACAGTGTCAGTAGGAAATACTTTATTTAAACTACAAAATAAATATAAAAAAAATAATTAAACAAAAATATGCAATTTGAGTAATTTTAATTTTTACCCTTCTTACAAAGAAGGGTATAGATATCACTTGAAAAACCGACTATCGATCCGAGGCCCGGAGGGCCGAGTGTCATATACCATTTGACTCAGCTCGACGAGATCGGAACATGTCTGTGTGTGTGTGTATGTACGTGTGTATGTGTGTATGTGTGTGTGTATGTAACGAAATGAATGCGCTCACGTTTTTCAGCAACCGCTCAACCGATTTGGACAAACTTGGCGCCAAATGATAGGTCTTGGGGTCCCATTGAACGCTATTGAACGGTTTTGGAATCGGTGAACCGGTTCCGGAGATATGGCCGGAATAAGATCCGGTGAATATGGGCCTTCACGCTGGATTTAACGGAAAACGTATCAAAACCATCATGCGACACATCAAATTACTACAGAATTCAAAAATAAGATCAAAGCAAGTCGTGTTAAGTGTTCCAGACCACATTGGACACACTTCCGAACAAACAACGTTGACGTTGAACTTATTAGAAATAACGTTTTCAGTTGCTAAATAAAATTTAAATTTGCCAACTCTGTAAAAAAAACTTTCCTTGTTATTATATTCCATATGTTTTTTCTTATATAGGGGAAAAGTTCTCTTCGGCAATACCTTAACCTATTATCGTCAGGGGGTAAACAAAGTCCTAGAGCACTCAAATTTGGCCAATAGTTGCTCTAAAACACAATGTATCCACATGCCAAAATTGAGCTCTCAAGGACGTTGTTTACCCCCTGACGATAATAGGTTAAGGTATTGCCAAAGAGAACTTTTCGCCTACATATTTTAAACAAGATGTCAAGAGAATAAACCCATGTATTATGAAGAAAGGGCAAAAAATAAAATAAAAAATGTTGTTTTTCCTCATATCTTTTGACTTTTCTTGATTCCAAACGCAGTATCTCAGGAACTACGCAAATTACTGTTTGTCGTAAAGTGTTTCTTATGTAAATCAGGATGAAGAACACTATGGTGCCTTCAAATTTGAAATTAACATATAATCATTCATAGGTTATTCAATTTGAAGTTTTAAAACGTGAGTTAAAAATATTTGAAAGCACTTATGTTACTTTTCCCAGTAAGGACATGCTCTGCTGAAAGATCTTTTAAAGCAACGAAGCTCAAAATACGGAATGCTGAACTACAAAAATCCAAGATTTACTGAATTACTTGATGATCAAGTTGTTTTTTGAACCGGCGTTCTTTATCGCATTACACTTGGCAATTATTTTAATATTATCGGACAAACGGTCTCAGAATGTTATGAAATTTTTCCCTTGGGTATGAAAGTAAAACAAATCAAAAAAATTAAGATGCAAAGACAATTTAGAGAAAATATCATATTTTACGTATCTACCCTGTTGAAGCCAAGGCCATGTAATGGGGGCTTTAAGGTACATATTTTTATCGTCAATTCTAATGTCTAGTTATTCATGATTATATCCCATCCGACATACCACGGATATCCCTGCCTAAAAAGGAAGGGTTACAGGGTTGTGGCATTTTCATCGTTTCCGCTCATCCTTTTTTTTGTGACTTGCTCTGGAAAGCAAAAAATTGCAAATCATTGGGAAACTTGTTTCCTTTCGAATTTCTAGAAGCGTACCTGACATACATATAAATATGAGATTACAGGATGTCAGACGTTGCGGAGCGTCAGGTAAATTGGGTTAGGCATTTTTTGGGATGTAAGCACAAATCGAAAAGTGATTTCCTGTCAGCATGGCACATAATTTTGCGGAGTTAATATTTAGATTTAATCGCACCGTTCGAGGAAGCTGTAATGCTTATTGTGTCAACTTACCGATATTTACTACTCCGTGGTTGGTCAGTTCCCAGCAGGATTGTAACCGCAAGATGCTTAGGCTGTGGCTTTGTTTGGGTGAAAAATAACCAAGGGCTGCATCAGTTACGTGGTACGCCTATAAAGAGCAAGTAAAAGCAATCGATATTGATACTGCAGGAAATGAATTAGAGATGCACAAGGTTCTGACCTGCAGAGAAAATTCGTACAGTGAAGGCAACAGTTGTGCTACAGCTCCGACCGCTTCGTCTGCTACATTTATGCAATCCGCTAGCGATAGGGACACTATCCGAGGCGTTAGGCAGGCCCAAAGCCCAGCTTCGGTGATTTCATTGCACCCGGCTAGCTCCAGTTCAAATAGGGACTGCAAGTAAAGGAAAATGCGAGAGGACAATGTGTTAATATGTGTTCATCGGAATGGGTTTATGGCGAAATGAAATTTATTCATGTGACTACAGGTAATGGACATTATCATCAGTCCGTGTAAATATTGCAGGTTTATGTAGAGCTACGTTGCGTTATGATTCGTTGCTGTAGACATTTTTCCTGTTTTAATCGAGGTGTATTATGCAGGGTGCATAACCGTAAGATTGTAATTGTAACTTATTGACAAGGTTTGAAGAATCCCCAGAAAGCCATTATTATGGTGGTCTTGCCTTGCCATTTCAATTCGATATTTATGGCACGAATTTGAGAATTTACAAAAAATCTGTGTACAAAATTGTTTAAACAGTGCAGCAATAGCATTGCTATAATTTCGTACACGAAAACTTTGTCGTTTCTGAGATACGTTCCGTAAAAAATTCGAAGTGGCAAGACGAGACAACCAAGTGCTTATGCTAACTCTTCTCAACTTTAACCTTTACGTATCCAATATTTAGTGCCATTAAATCTAATGCTCCGTAACCGTCAAAGATTTAACGAATATGATGAAACAGATGCCATATTCCGCATGTTTCTCCTAGACCCATGAATATTTCTTCTCCCCGAGGCAGGATTGCTGCCAATTTTTACTATACCAAAATGTTTATAGGAATTATGAAACCATTAGATGGTATTATGCTATTTTAAACTTGTAAGTTACAAGAAGATGTGGGAAAGTATGTGTTTGACATTCTGTCAATTTCACGTTCAGAGAGCCACAATTGGCGATTTTAAGATCGGTGATTTTATTCACTGATTATAGAATTGTGAATCTCTGAGCGCAAAAATTAAATGTTTCATGTGTCAAAAACATACACTACAACCTCTTCATATAACTTACATGTTCAAAATATCATCATAATGATCATCTAATGATTTCAGAAATCTGAACAATATTTTTTTATAGCAAATGAATGGCAGCAACCTTGTCCCCGGGCAGTGATGGATCGTTTTTTGAAGCTTTTTCATTACTTTTTTTTTATTATGGTATGCTAATGTAAAATCCAGTTGATCCGTCGTAAAATAGATAGGTTAATGCTATTAAAGGGGGTAGTCCACTCTGGCGGCATGAAAAATAGGTCATTTTCACGAATTTTGGGTAAATAACGATCAATTCAAAAAAGGAATGCATGGTTTTGTCAATTGAAATGTCCTCTTTAATTGAGTTTTTTTTGCGCGATTGGATGTCTCCTGTAGCCGCTGCACCAAGTTTCCCAGGAGACCTCCCGTCTGAATCGTCGCGGGGCGGGACGTCTGGCGGTCACACCACTGGAGCTGGAACAACGATTTTTTTGTGGTTATTCTCTGATAGATGACCCTAGTCTTGTACGTAGCCGTTTTTGATTTGGTTGAAAAATAAAAATTTGGCAACGTTTTGAAAAAAAAAAACAGTCCGTTTTTGTACCCTAAAATTGGAGATAAAAGCTTGCACCAAAAATCCATTTTTGATTCTTTTGAAAATCGGCTACAAGACTAGAAAAAAAGGTACTTAACTCGAAAATTCAATCGCCGTTTAAATCGAATGAGCCGTTTCTAAAATACAGCGCCCGTCAATTTTTAAAACATCGTTTAGAGATAATCGCGTTTAAAGTTGAAACTACTAAGACTCGCCGTTTCGCCGGTAACGGGTGGGTACTCCGAGCGCTCACCTGAACGCGCTTGGAGCGTCTGGACACGAGTCCACTAATTGGCCTATAACTTTGGAACGATGTCACTTGCGGACTTGCGGTTAAGTCTATGTCAAAGTAGACATTCCAAAGTATTTTTTAAGCCAAAAAAAAAAAGATTTTTTGAAATTTCCAGGGTGGATTACCCCCTTAATCAAAATGAAGAATGTCTGCACCGCTCTGCCACACTCTGTGTTTTCACTGAAGCTTCGAGAACGCTCTCCAGGGTTGCCAAATGTAAATCTTAGTTTTTGTCCAGAAAATCTGTGATGATATCTGTGTTGATAATTTATTAATTGAATCCTTGAAAAATGCCAAATAGATAAAAGTATAGGGGAAATGGCTCTAATGTTGGCCTATGGATCTAAGATTGGGCCCATAGCTAAAAATCTGCTATTCATCGATTTGATCTAGATGAACGCGTCATTGGGACGGTACTTATGAATATTTTTGGTCGCAATTGAAAATTTAGTCGATTGCTGAATTTATGTATGGGCCCAAATTAGGGACATTTAGGCCGATATTACATTCATTTCCCCTATGTATAATAAATTACTTATGGCTTATGAAAAAAAAACACCTCTGATAGTTCTCATTCTCATTTCCTAACCGCAAAAAAGCATGTGTTGGTGATGATAAAATTTCACTGAAGTGAAAAAAATGTTTTGTTTTTAAACATCTCAAGTTTCATTAATTTGTTAAAATCCTAAAAATCTGCAATCTGTGAATACAGAATCTTGGTTTTAAAAACTCTGAAAAATCTGTAGAAAAACAGATTTATCTGTAGTTTTAAAACCCTGGTGCTCTCAACTTTACCTTCAGTGAAGGCACAGAGTGTGGCTTTACAGTGCAGACATTTTGAATTTGGATTAATAGCATTAAAGATGGGTAAGCATTCAAAGTAATCAAAAAGTCCCAAAAGAGCGATCCATCCCTGTCCCCGGATATAAAAAATATATCTTTATCGTAGATCTGTTATCTCATGAAAATTTAAATGTTTTAAAAATGTGTCGTCCAATCTTAAATTTTAAGTCGCAGACTCTTATATTTTTATGTTCCCAATCTCAGAAACTTTCAGAAGTCCGGCATCAAACATATATCCGTTAGGTAGCCTCAGAACTCTACTTATATCTGTTTTTATTCAGCCTACACACTTAGAAAAAATCATGTAAATTTAGGTCTTCTGAGACTGACATATACGAGCGTCAATTTTGACATAAAATTATGTCATAACAGACGCGAAATTCAGCCCAATCAAATGTGCTTTTCATTGAGTAACGAACTTTTCAGTCTCTGAGCACTTAATTTTTCATGACATGTATGTTTATGTCTCATCCTTTATGTCAAAGATATGTTCCGTCACGTGTAAAATTATTTATTTTTAAGTGTGTACGACTAGTCTCAGAATCTTAACAAATATCCATTTCCCAAAAATCTATAAAAATAGCCTTTGTCCGTCGGTATTGTATGTTTGTTTTTGTCCGGCAAATCGACAAATTTTCCTAGTTTGAGAACCCAAAAATAATTGGTTAGTCTCAGAGTGTCAACATTTATTAAAAGTCTCTGGAATCTCGGTTTACCGCAGATCCGGATACATTGTGCGCCGCTCTTTAGGTGTGCGGATGCCGGTCTCATATGGCATTGGAAACGAAATTATTGCCTTTCTTGAACACCAATATCACATGTGTATGATTTAATTGTATGTGTGTAAATCACTCACTTTTCTCAGAAATGGCATAGCGGATTTGAGTGAAACAAGTTTATGTTTATGTAAAATCTAATCGAAAGTTTATGCCGATCTGGTCCCGGAAATATAACCAATAAAAGTGAAGTTAAACTAGCCGTATGCTCCATGTCCGAGTGAAGTGGGAACACTTTAGGAAGACTGGAGGAAATTTCCAAACCCTCACCCAGTGCCGTAAGTGCCAGGGATGCGGTCACGGAACAACAAATTCCTACATGCCAGCTAAATGCATGAATTTTGGTGTTTCATCTCACGCAAGGGACGACTGTCCTGTGAAAGAAGATCCTAAGAAATTTAAATATTAAAATTGTGGAGAAAATCTTAAATCCAATTTTTGGCAATGCAAGAATCGCAAAGCGATCATACAATCATGCACTAAGCATCAGGTAGGAAACACTCCACGTTTCCGACCAAGTACTGGAATGTATTTCCTTTACCATCTTATAAAGCTCGATTAACATCCAAACATTAAAAGAGCATCGTAAATTTGCAATGGTTTCATTCATAAACGAAATCGTCTCGCAGAGAATTGATTCAATGGAACTGTTATCAAAATTAAACTTTTACATACCATCAAGGTATTTCCGACATAGATATTTCATTTCTACAAATTATCATCGTACAAACTATGCCAAATTTGGGCCTATTAATCATATGATGACTATGTACAGTAAACATTGCTATATTCTTGACTTTATAATGTACAACACCAAACTAAAACAATATTTCCACGGGTAGCGATAACTAGGAGAACCATTTATTTAAAACTATGTGTATGCTCATACGTATTGTACTAAGACAAAGCTGCATGAATTTAAGTGGACTAATGTTTAAGATAATCAATGCAACAAAAACTAAATAAACTAATTCCTCAGCTGTTAACAACGTCAGCGATGACCATTACATTCCTACCCGTACTTACCAAGAGCACAAGCTTCAAGTTCTTCATCCTTACCCGTTGCTAACAATGTACAGCAATTCAATGGAGCTGCTTTTGCAACTGGTAGAAATCGAAAAAAAAATCTAGCAAACATAATTCTAACGGAAATTTTGATGATTTTGACATAGGTAGCATTGTGGCAGACTGAAGAGGACATAATTTATTTAATTATACTTTGATTTTCCACTGCATTTACAATGTCCAGAAAATACGTGTTAAAAACAATAAAACAGCAACTTCCACAGTTTTTATGTGCAGTCAATGTGCATGCATGATTAGTAGTTTGCACGCTACTTGAACCACCAGCTTCTAATCGCACCCGCAAGGTGAGGTCAAGCCAAGGGTACCGTAAGACGGGGTGACATTTGGCCGAGGGGGTGACATTAGACCAAAATTAACAAATCTAGATAGAGCTGGAATTAGGGCGTAACAGCTTTTTTTTTTAATTCCTAGAAATCATCGAGAGAAGTCATTGTTTGCAAAAGCTGTTACGCCCTAATTCCAGCTCAATCTAGAAATGTTTATTGATGCAAATATCTTGAATATACAGAAAATGATGTCTACAACATGTTTTTCGAGCTCCTGGAGTA